TCAATTCAAAGCTCCGAGGCGTCAGAAGCAGCTCGTGCTCAGGGACCGTTTCCGCGGTCTGAGCGAATCCTCTCCCGCTCCCAGTCCTCCCAGCATGAGCGTCCAGCCCCGGCGTGTCCGCCTGAAGCCCTGGCTGCTGGCGCAGGTGAACAGCGGCAGGTACCCCGGTCTGCAGTGGCTCAGCGCGGACCACCGCCTCTTCCAGATCCCCTGGAAACACGCCACGCGCCACACGCCCGTGTCAGACGAGGAGAACACCATCTTCAAGGTCAGGTTAACCCTTCACACCTGACCTCCAACCTCTGATATAGCATCTGCTGTGATCATGTTTCAAGTTTCAAAACTTTTTTTTTTTTACAGAAAATAGTAATGCACACTCGTTTTCATATCTTGGTGAGGACCTCGTCTCATTTCATAATGCTTTCCCTAACCCCAACCATCAAAAATGAATGCTGAATCCTAACCCACAGCCCAATCCTAAGTATAAGCTAATTGTAACCCTGTCACTAATACAACATGGTGACAGGGATTTTGTCCTCATAGGTAATTGTTAGTCCCTACAAGTATAGCAGCATACCATTTTTTCTGTCCTCACAAGATGTCTAAACATGTACAAAAATACAAACACACGCAGACGGACAGATGCACACATGTGCACAAACACACACACAAAAACAGATACAAGGAAACACGCATACACGGACACACACACAGACAAACCAAAGTAAAAACTACAAGCGGGTTCTTGACATGTGAAGAGGAAGTAGGCGTTTGACTTCCTTCTTCCAACGGAGTTTCGTTTCACAGTTTTTGAACAACTTCAGTTTGACCACTGGTGATGATGTCACTTCCTCCTTCTCTGCTGACTGCTTCCTCTTTTGTGTGTCAGTCTGAGTGTTTATTGACTTTGAGTAGCGTTGCCTATGATAAACACTGGAAACAAAGGGAAACTGCTGGCACGGCAATCTCTCAGCTTGAGCACAGGTGAGTCCTATCTGTCACATGTGAGTTATGCCCTGGTCTGTGTGTCCTAGGCATGGGCTCTGGAGACGGGGAAGTACCAGGAGGGAGTAGATGAACCCGACCCTGCCAAGTGGAAGGCAAATCTGCGCTGTGCTCTGAACAAAAGCCGCGAGTTTCAGCTGAAGTATGATGGCACCAAAGAGACGCCGGTCCAGCCGTACAAGATCTACGAAGTGTGTGAGCACCCCGGGAGCACAGGTGAGCTTCACCTGCACGACTGTAACCTTCTGATGTCGTGCGATGGTGACAGGAAGTGATGATCCCTGTTTTGTGTTTCAGACGGCGCTGAGGACGATGACGAGGAGGTGAGAACGATCACATGATGTAAACAGTCTGACATGTTTTCACGTGATTGACCGAAACACTTTGATCCTTTCAGATGCCGAACCTGATGGACCTCTCCATCAGTAAGTACACCTGCGACTCAGTGTCACCATGGAAACACTGTGGCTGTTGATGTAATGTGATGATACCATGTCTCCTTAGATCCCAGGCTGAGTGACTCCGCCCCCTTTGCCTCCTTCCCGGCTCCCTCAGAGATGAACCAGTTCAGCCTACCCCCTAACGGGACATTTGGACCGCCGCATATCCCAGTGCCTCTGCTTCCTGACATCACCATGACCTCTGACCTCCAGGGTCAGGCACACTTCCTCCATAATGGACTTCAGGATCTGAACGCTGCCGCTGTGCAACCACAGCCGGACCTAATGGAGGCCAGCGGCATGGTGGGCATCGAGAACCAGGCAGAGCCTCAGAACCACCAGCCCTGCAAGTACGACCTGCTGAGCAGCGTCCCACGTGAGTCTTGACCTCTAATGCAGTTTCCTGTCACAGATTCAAGGCTAAAACGCTACCACACGTGGTGCTGCTCAGACAGTTTACCATCAAACCAACTCTGATGTCACACTTTAACAATACAGCACCACAATGCAGAGCTCAGGGTTACCTTCACAGACCCATGAGGTTCACCTGTGCATTCACAGGTGAACATTAGGGCTGTGCTTTATGACCAAAATCTCATACCCTAATGTCATTTCTTGTCCCGATAACGATTTGTTTTAGTGGCTTTACTGTGGTGACTGTTGCTAATCGTCGTCTAAGGCAATGAAACAACATTGCAATAAACATTGTGTTTTATGACAGCACAAAATAAACGAGTATAACACGATCATCCCATGTATTTGGTCATATCGCATAGCCCTACTGAACGTTAACAGGTGAGCACTGCAAACTGAAGGTGAATATCACGGCAAATCCTGTGACGGTTTATCTGCACGTCACCTGCCTGCAGTGAAGCAGGTGAGGGCGTGGCAGGGTCTGTGACACCCTTCAGTGTAACCATCAGTGCAGCATCCTGTTTGCGTGTCAGGAGCGGTGCCACCAAATAATCTCATTAATCTTGTTACGATAATAACACATACATAAAAGTCCCCCCTCTACTGGCACAGTAATGGTCCTGTATCTCGTGTTGCTATAGTAACAGATCTGGACCTGAAGTTCCAGTACCGGGGCCGTACAATGGGCTCTCTGATCGTCAGTAACCCTCAGGGCTGCCGGCTGTACTACGGACACCTGGGACCGACCCCAGAGCAGGTGGACCTGTTCGGACCTGTCAACCTCCAACAGGTGCTGTTCCCGGGAACATCAGAGATGCAGAACGAGAAACAGCGATTTTACACCGAGGCCTTGCTGGACGTGATGGACCGCGGCCTGATCCTGGAGATCTGTGAGCAGGACATCTACGCCGTCCGCCTTTGCCAGTGTAAGGTGTTCTGGTCTGGACCGGGCATGCCAGAACACGGCCCATCCAACCCCATGGAGAGAGAAAAGAAGATCAAGGTCTTCAGCCTCAACGACTTCCTGCAAGGTGAGTTTGGTGTGCGGGTTTGTTGACATGCTGCCTGATATGTTCTAACCGACATGCTTCTGTCCGCAGGACTGATCCTGTTTCAGAAAGGCGAAGCCCCGAACCCGCCGCCCTTCGAGATCTACTTCTGCTTTGGGGAGGACTGGCCTGACAATAAGCCCAAAGAGAAGAAGCTCATCATGGTGCAGGTGAGGGGGCAGAGCTTAAACTGAGTGGCAGTGCTGACGGTTTTATAACAAGTGCAAAAAAACGAAGAAGCCTTTGGTCCGAACACGTCAGAACCAGAATCTTTATGAGCTCCACCCCTCCACCTCCAGTTAACCTTCACTACATCACTTACCTCCTCCTGAGCAGCCTCAGTACTTCCTATTGGCTGATGTTGCTGTAAAGAACCTGTCTGTCTCCAAACTCCTAACTAAACAACATGACCTGAGTCAGAGCTCAGTCCTGCAGATGCCAGGAAATAATTAGTGTCAGCTCCCATTGGAAATGAAAAGGCAAGGCAAGGCAAGTTTATTTATATGGCACAATTCAACAGCAAGGTGATTCAAAGTGCTTTACAGAGACATTAAAAAACAAAAACAAATAAAAAGCATGATTTAAAATAGAAAAAAAGAAAGGAATAGTAGATAAAATCAGTAGTTAAAATGTAA